CTTATCTACTACACAGTCGAACTACAAGATAGTCGCAAAGTATGACCGCACCATTGCGCGGTCATACTTTGAACAATCTTGTAGTTCGAGTGTGCAGTAGATACGGAGGTCCGTGGACAGTCACAAATGTTCAAAAACCCGACTGGCATATTTGCAAGCAGACTACGTAAGGAGAAAACGTGGAATTGGAGATAGTAGACTGAGCGAAATTGGTGCCTCTACCACGACAGGTTTTCGAAACAAAACTTGGGTAAGGAGGTAAGATTAATTCGGACTAAGAATAGAGAAAAGGAATTCCGATAAAAAGTGTTAGGGGTGGTATTAACCCGAATTTCTATGACGCTGAGGAGGACCCTGCGTCTAACTTCGAGGATATCAGTACGGCTCTTCCTGCACTGATAGTGGTGACTGACGTGATAGTACGACGACGACAAGGCTAAATTTCGCTGGTAAGGCGAAAGTGATCTGCCTGCCATTCAAGTGAGGCCAAATATTATTGATCTGCGCGCGATGAACTGTGCGCGATCGATAGTCGTGCCTGTCATGAGCCGAGAGACGCAGGCGGTAATAGGGTTTTCCCACAGTCGCGGACTTCACCCATACCATTCAAGAAAGATTCGGTCTGCGTTTGTCAATTCCTGACATACCCGAACATGAGGCCCTCATGGTCAGTGCAACCGTCCAGAGACAATAAAAGGAATGACAAAGTAATCCAAACACAAGAAATAAGAAGGTACAGGAAATAAGTGCTTTGGAGCGACATACATCACAAATCTAAACTTGAGGGTCTTTTAGCTACAGGCTTCTACATTTTCGGACCGGTTTCTAAAATTATTGGTGCTTCGATAAAATGGAGTGCTCAGTAACGACCGGTGTCTTCGACATGCGCCGTTCACATCTTTCAGAAGTAGAAATACCCTTGACCGCGCCATGACTACTGCAACTACCGGCGCACTATTAAGATCCAGATGGCGCTGCCAATACTAACAATTGTGCTCATCGAAAACCCGAATTCATACTCGACGATATACACTCTGTTTCCCGCCGCCAAACATACCGTAATTACAGAAAGAGTAGGCAAATGTAAGACTTGGCGACCAGTCGCTAAAGAATCGCTCGATTCGAGCGATTTCCATTGTCTGCTGTACCGATTGTTCTCCAAGGAGATAGCTAGTGTTCGATGTCCCGAAGACCCATCCAATCACCGATTTTTTTGGGAGCTAAGAATCGCTTGAATCGCGCGATCGCAAAATCAGCATCTGCCCAGCTTTCGCAGCATCAAGCATCAAGAAGCGCATTTGATATCGACTTTTCGGAGGTCAAGTCACAATGTACTACTAAGTTCGCAATTGCGACACCTCTCGCCGTAGGAACAGAGTATAAACACATCTACGATAGGAATTTACCTTTGACGAGACCGATTGAACAAGTAGAGGAAGTTGACTATCGTTACTGGCTTCAGCGTCCTGAAGCTCCGCGCTGACGCGATCGGTTAGCGCGTTGAAGATGTGCCTAGCGCCGGCTAGCTCAAGAACGCTTCGACTTGGTTGTTCTTCGGTAGCAAATTTAACAATCTAAAATGAAAAAGAGTACCAAGCTGAAATGATCTCTGGCGTCTTCAAAAATTTGGAAAATTACAGGAATATGAGTCTGCGCTGCGTGACTCGCAAGGATCGTATCGCGGGTCCGGCCGGCAAAGGCTGACCGAAACCGACAGCGGATAGAAGTACGCGAGCACAGTGCACCGCTGGCGAACCACAGTCCGCTCCACAAGTAACAAGTAATCTCTGAAATACTAGTAATTATGACTGATGCTGCAATTCTCTAATGGCGTGATTATTCAAGAATTTCATACGGTACAGAACGAAATAACAAGGAAACAGCAAAAGAATCATCATAACTTGAGATTTGGAAAAAGAATTATGATAAATCTGCCAAATGTGAGGAATAATATCAAAGACGAAAAACATATGGGAGAAAATGATAGGACGATTACGTATTCAGTAGCCCAGACGTTTCGAGGGATGTTTGCATGCCCTATTGATCGACATTTTTTTCAGCCACTTCTTTCAACCACAGATAAGAATCTAAGACACTGGCCATAAAACTTGAGAAGCTATTGAAAGTGCAACAGAATTCGAGCACTTTTCACCTTCAGCAACGATTTTCCCACGATATTTCGAAAGAAAAACTGCAATAGCTTATACCAAAATTCTTAAAGTACTCACCTGAAAAACAAATTGAATAGATTTCTGTGGATACTGAGTGAAATCGGTGAGTAGCGAATCAACGTAGCTTAGCGAGTATCGCGCTGGAGATGACAGGCCGATCGACATACGAATACAGCACTACGTCAATTATGAACCACCTCATTCACCTTCGGGATTCCCTGGAAATTTGATAGATCAGTGACGAATATTAAGCATTGCAACAATCAGAACCTATAAGCACCTACAAAAGATTTTTATTGAACTGCTCAATAATCTGGGCCCTTGAGTTTCCTGTACCTGTTATTCTGAATTTACTTCCAAATGAAGGCTGAGAAAAGAAAAACCGTCAAGAAAATGATGGCATGAAATCAGAGGCGGAGCTTACAACAAAGAGGCAAGTCAATAGAAACTGAATGAAGGGGTCAGTGTTCAGGGAATGAAGCCAATACTATGAGGAACGGCCCAGAATTCGAGAGATGAGACCCCTTCAGAACGCTGATTTCCTCATAGGTGCCGCCCTCTTTGACGCTAACGCTCTCTCTCTTGGGAACGAACCAGAGCCAGTCCGCGGGAGGGTGGGCGGGCAGAGGCGCGAGTGACGTGGGTATAGCCCTGCAGCCGCTGGGCCATACTCTTCGCTACAAAACCTGCATCGCTGTCACTCTTAGTGGGTTCGCCGCATTTCGACTAATTATACCCCCCCCCCCTTTTTCCCCCGCCCACTTCGTATTCACAGTCATAGTACCAATGGAAAAAAGATTTAATTCGTATATATGAGCTGAGGGTAGGAAGGAAGCAAGCTCATAAGAAGACATTAATTGCTGCCCTCTCAAATTCGTGCGATTTCAGAGTCAGCGGCATTACTCCTCGTTCCGCCAAGTTTAAAGTCGATCCAATGATATCAAAACACCGAACCAGGCAGACTCCTCAGATAACCACTAAAGCAACGCCTGGTAAGCAGCGCCACTTGCCACTGCACCAGCTTCTTCTATTATGCTCATAACAGTACAAAAACACGAGAATTTCTCTCGTTTTCGTCACAACAATGTTGACTAAAGCGCTTTCACCATTTAATGCGCGCGGGGTCCAACCTTTCAAGTGAATCCATGTGACCTTCACATCTTTCTGGCTCCCAATAAGGTTCCCATTTGCACTCTCTCAGCGCAACCTTCCAAGTAACTGAATCTATATTAAACAATGATCAATTTAACGTCGAATAAAACGAAAAAAATAATGCTAACACCGAGAAAAATTACGCCTTTGACAATATACAGCACAACGATCCGAAACTTCCCAAGTCTAACTCATGTACCCAGAGAAGAAACAAAACGAGCTTGAATTCTTTCGTTATACACGTCCTTGGTCTAGCACTTGTTTTCAGACGAACATTGACATTTATTATTCACTCATGGAAGAAATGATACGTTCCAGGAATGGTGGCGCGCCAGCCTGTTTGCTCAGCATGGGCGTGGCCTATTCTCAAAGAAAAACAAGTACACAGGCTTGTTTTTGTCCAAAATGTCAGACAACTGGGCACAGAGAATTTCCTTTCATAAGAAAAACGCCGCAAAGTGGTGCTTAGCTTGAGAAAAAGTCGAGCGGATGAGCCAGCCAGAAACACATCTAAATTGTGTTCCTTTTCAAACTTCAAATATCGCATATACTTATTCAGAGCTATGCTTTAGTAATCGAAGGGATTGCCTCCTCAGTGGACGTCGACAAAAGAAACAGCCGAACGTTGACTGAAAAGGCCATTTATTGACAGAATTAGCGCAATAACTATAGCTCTCTCCTTTACCGGAAATTTCCCGGAAAATGGGGCTATCACAATGTGTAAATCGGAAAAATGGGAATAAGCAAAGATGCACTGTGGAAGAAAAACTCCAGTAGGAAATGCTATCAAATAACATATTTCCTTGAGCTACTCACATAACTGAACAAATTGAAAACTGAAGGATCACCAGGAACAGCCTTGCCATATGGTAGCTTCGCTCATTTTACGAGCCATTCCTCGTTATTATGAGGCCTTTATCAACCGTCTCAGATTCCCAGAGCCAGCAACCAGGCAAAAAGAAAACAGGGTTTAAAGGAAAATATGTAAAG